TTTGCGAACATTGAAGCGTCTGGCAGAAATTACTGCCGACGGGAAGTGTCTGACAGTATTAGTTAATTTTTTTTATTAATTTTTAACAATATTCTATGAAACATTATGTAAAAATCAGCACTTAGACTTTAAGGAAAGTGTGTAATATTTGTACGCTCTTGTAGCACCTGTGGTATCTACAAATTGGTCGAAGGCTTAAATTAGAAGGTATGCATATGCTCCAAGTAAAACTAACAATATTCTGACTCACCCATTTCGTCACTTATAACGTATATAACGGTGCGGCTTACAAGTTGCTATATATCTCGTTTTCACTTGTCATGGTAATATCAATTGTCAACGATTTTCCCAAATAAATAATGATGTAGGTCAGGAGGGAGCAACCTTTTTAATCAACGGACCAATTTAAATTTTAAAATTTTTTGGCAGGCCTCACATAAAGTAAAACTTTAATAATAAAAAAAATTAGAATAAAAAAATATAAAATTTAAAAAAAGTAAAGATTAAATATACAAATTTTAATGCAAAATAAAAACAAACAAGAAAAGAACAATAAAACGAATTGTCTTGAAATTTTTAATGAAAAATTTGGCACTGTTTTTACGATACAAGCTGGAATCAACCGGAACTGATGAGGTACCTACACGTACGCAGCTTTCTAATCGTGCATCACTCAGTCTTGATCTACCGAACAGAGGCATCATTTGCTTTGCATTTTTCGTCAAAAGCGGAAATTTCTCAGGGCTCACATACGATTTATTAAAATTTTTGATGTTTGCTGAGAAAAACACATTTTTTAAATCGGTATTATTCTGCATGTCAATCGCTTCCATTTGAAAGTCTTCGAGAACTATATCCATATCGATATTAAATGGCGAGGAAAACATTTAAAATAAATTCAATTTTAGAAAGGAAAACGAACATAAACAGTAACAAAGAAGAGAAGATTTTCTAGATGTCATATTCTAGATATTTGTAGAATAATTTCAGATCTCTAAACAGATGCCGTGAAGTCGGAATAATCGATACAAACCGACATAAGACGAGCGAAGAAGCGACAAAATATGTAATATAATCGTGAAATAGAAATTAACAAATAATAGTGGTGTTAGTTAGAGACTAAATAGTTAAACAAATTAGTGAATAGTGAGAAAGGTGTTGAATTACGCAACAATATTGTTAAATAATTCCATTGCCTTTAGAACAAAATTACTTATTGGACGTTGCGGCGACAAAGAGCAGATATCAGCGTTGCCAGATGAATTTCTTTTTCTTACCTAGTTTTTATCAAAATTTTCTTGTATTTCCTGGAGATTCATACGGCGAAAAAAGGACGTTTAAACAATAACAATTCATTCGGTGCAGGAAAGAATGACTTTTTCCTTCTGTAGTTATTTAACACAAACTAAATAAAAATCGCACTTTCCCTAAGCTGGCTTTAAATTTCCTATGTTTAGGGAAATTTCCCTTAGGTTTGATATTGCTTGCCAAAAGTTGAACGTGTTAGTAGAAATCCTTCTCCATCTTACTGCTTGCAGAGAAAGAGAACTGCTGAGGTAGATTCGAATAGTCTGCTATATAGTGACAAGGCAGCGCTTACGGAATGTATATGTTAGATATGTATCAGTTCTTTTTTATAAAATACCTAAACCGAAATTTATAATTAATATTTTCTTTTACCCGTGTGAGTATACCATAATGAGCTGTTTACGTAAGGTCATCGTTAATGTCGTCATTTTGGCAAACAGAAGACTTATACTTTCATGGAAGTTAGGTCATAATATTGAAACAGATACGACAGGTTATAGCGTCTTACTATCTCTGTCAAAAAGCGAAGGTTTCAAAAGCTAGCGTCGGATTAATGCATTCTGTTATTTCCAAGGGACCAGAGGATCCAGTTCGTGTTGATATGCTCGGTCCATTACCAGCTTCAAGGGGCGAAATAACTCAGTTATTGGTGTTGGTCGATTCTTATAAAACAATATAAAACTTTATACCTTAAAAACAGCTACAACTAGGTTTCTTAACAAAATTATTAATGACTACATACCCAAGGAACAAAAGCCAAGGTGTATATTAAGCGACAACAGAACAAAATTTACATCATACGTATGGATTTCTACCCTAGAGGGTCTCGGTATTAGAATGAAATATATATCAGTTTATTTTCCGTAGGAAATTAACGGAGTGGTATAACAAAAAGTAGGACGGTTTTTTAAGCTCTATTGCTTTGATAAACATACTAGGTGGGCGCTTGTGCCAGATTTCATTGAGTAGTGTTTAAACCAAGTTACTAATGACAGTACTGGTTCTTTTGTTTATTTTTTGCAAACATATAAGAAACCTCCAAATTTTATTGATAAAACATTAAAATTTCCAACGACTAATGAAAAATGAGATGCTTTGCCTCTAGAATAAAATTGGGATTTGGTTCATAATCGGTTACAAACTAAAATGGAAAGACGTGCTGCTAAAGCTGATGCGACTTCCAATCCTATTGTGTTTAATGAGGGAGATCAAGTCCTTAAGTCACATCTGCAGTCTTCTGCGGGAGATCGAATTATTTGTAAATTCTTTTTCTTATATGAGGGACCTTATGTTATTTTACGTAAAGCCGAACCTGATTCGTACATTCTCGGTGATTAAAAGGAACTAAATAAACAAAATATAAATTTAAAATTATATAAAACTGTGGCTCTAATTTTAAATTAGTGTATGAACCGCATCTTCAGATACCTTTATTTTACCTTCTGTATGGTATTCTTTAATAAAGTTAAATGTGAAAGAATCCACTTCGATTACATTTAATACCCTGAGAAGAGAATAACACCTTGTAGAGTCTACTCAAAGTTTTTCGATTTAGAATTCTCAGAAACAAGACAAGTCAATTTTAGAAATACAAGAGTTTGCCCAGGATTTCGCTTACAAGCAATGAAGTACATTTAAATCTTCGTAGTACTTGAAATGTCGCAGGGTACTCGACGAAACGCATTTTTAGATCTATGAATGGGTAAATTAATATAACCCATATATGTATTAGCAAATATTCTGTCAACTTTTTTGATACGGTGGTATCTTGTATGAAGACTTTCTGACGTAGTTTTTAATAATCTTTAACAATGACACTGTTCTTATTCTTATTATTTATTATTGGTCTATTAAAACAGGTCAATTGAAAAGTCCCCGGCCTTAAATAGTAAAACACATTTTTTTTTGCAAAATTTGTTTTTTTTATTCAACATAATTCCCTTACACTGATTATAGCGATCCTCCAACTTTACGATACCATTTTTGTAGTACGATTTGTCCTTTGCTTCAAAATAGGCCTCAGTTTCGGCGATCACCTCTTCATTCGACGAAAATTTTTTCCCAACGAGCATTCTTTTGAGATCTGAGAACAGGAAGTAGTCGCTGGGGGCCAGATCTGGAGAATACAGTGGATGCGGAAGCAATTCGAAGCCCAATTCATGAATTTTTGCCATCGTTTTCACTGACTTGTGAGACGGTGCATTGTCTTGGTGAAGCAGGACTTTCTTTTTCTGCAAATGCGGTCGTTTCTCGGCGATTTCGTCCTTCAAACGGTCCAATAACGCTATGTAATAGTCGCTGTTGATGGTCCTTCCTTTTTCAAGGTAGTCAATGAAAATTATTCCACGCGCATCCCAAAATACAGACGCCATAACCTTGCCAGCCGACTGTTGCGTTTTTGGACGCTTTGGAGCGGGTTCATCGTGTGCAGTCCACTCCGATGACTGTCGATTGGACTTCGGAGTGAAATGATGGAGCCATGTTTCATCCATTGTCACATATCGACGCAAAAACCCGGGTTCATTACGCGTGATCATCTTCAAACACTGCTCTGAATCATCAACTCGTCGTTGTTTTTGGTCAAAAGTGAACTCGCGCGGCACCCACTTTGCACAGAGCTTTCTCATACCCAAATATTCGTGAATGATGTGATGTATACGTTCCGTTGATATCTGTAGAGTGTCTGCTATTTCATTCAATTTCAATTTACGGTCATTCAAAATCATTATGTGGATTTTTATAATGTTTTCGTCCGTAACAGCCTCTTTTGGGCGTCCACTGCGTTCACCGTCTTCGGTGCTCATTTCACCACGTCTAAACTTAGCATACCAATCCTTGATGGTTGATTTTCCTGGGGCAGTGTCCGGAAATTCGTTATCAAGCCAAGTTTTTGCTTCAACTGTATTTTTTCCCTTCAAAAAGCAATATTTTATCAACACGCGAAATTCCTTTTTATCCATTTTTTTCACAATAACAAAAGTTGCTTCACTAAAAATCCTATAATTCACAAACTAATGATCCGACAGCCGTCAAATTTATAGACGCGTCTTTTGAAGGTTAGCACTAACTGAAAATCATATGGATTTAGTTCTGGTGCCGCCATCTATGTGTCAGGCCGGGGACTTTTCAATTGACCCTAGTAAACTGCATGTTTGCGAAATCCTGGGCAGACCCGTGTGTTTCAAGAATTGACCTGTCTTGTTTCTGAGAATTTGACATCAGCAAAGTTGATCAGGCTCTATCACTTAAACAAATGTTCGGATAAGCAAAAAATATTTCACAGATAATCTCCCACTTTTCTTCGTCTTCATTTTATCCGTTTCCTCTTTCTGTCACCACCCATGTCCCATCCATGATCATCGTAAGGAGGCTGAAGAATGCCTATCGTCCTACTCTCCGAATTTGCATCACAGTGTCACAACATGGTTTGTTCACCAGAATTCGCTGGTAGAAATGGCACATTCGATGGACTCATTTCCTCGCGGTGGTCCTTCGATCACTGTGTTATCTGTAATACGAAAAATTCCATTCCCATTTCTATTTCTCTTCGAAAAGACTTTCTGAGTAATCGCTGTAAAAAATATTGTGTTGTTATATGCAACATCTGCATAGAGTTGCGATTCAAGAGATATATATTTGAGCACAACTTGCATGAAGCTTAACTGCAATACAATAATTTAATTAATTTGCAGCGTTGTAAACCAACACGTCACTGTGGAGACTATTTTAAAATGATACCACTAAGCGATGGTGAAAGAGACATAATTACTCACGCCCACAACGAAATTCGTCATGATTTTATTCTAACAAATACCGATCTTAACGAACTTGCTAATACGACAGGAGTAAACATAACAAGAAAAGTTGAGTCTTTATATTTCTATCCTCGGCTGGAAAAGTTCCCCGGAAAGTATAATGAGAGCAGGATTAAATATATGAATGAAGTTGTAAGTTTTAAGCTCTTATATATATATATATATATATATTGATTAATTANAAAAACATTCAGTAACTACCAGTCAGAGTTTCTACCGTCTGAGCCTTGCTACCAATTTTTTTTTAACAATTATTTAGTAAATAAATTCAGTGTTGCCCAATCCGTCATCTTTTTCGATGAACTTTTTAATTTTTCAATTTATCTCAAATAATTTTAATGAATTCTACAGCTTTTCCCGTCGAATTCTGTCAAATTTTGAGCCTGTAATAAAAAAATAAAAATTTCCTCACGCACATTCATACGCGCATTGTTATCGACGCACTGACACTAGCTTACACTTGTACACGGACTCACACATGCAGCCAGTCTCACGTACGCCTATCCCTTCTACTACGTGAGGAGCCGAGTGCATCACTAGCGTCTCACTCTCGCGTCCCCTACCACCTTCCCACTCACTTTTTATTCTTCTGTAGCGCGCTTCTGATTGGTTACTTTCATTAATTAATTACTAATTATCTACTTTACAAAAAAATTTCAAGCATGGATTTTTGGGCTCAGAATTTTTTTCTCTTTCGATCCCAACAATTGGGTGCGCGACTTCTGAGACACCCAGTATATTAACTTTAAGTACAGGGTGCGGTAACATAATTTTTTCTTCATACCGTAATAAAACTCTTTTTGAAAATCAGATGTATCAGGTACGTATCTAATGTTTTGTTTTATGCAGTTTTGAAAATTGTGTCAAGTAGGTGACGGAGGGTATCACATATACTAAATAAGCCGATTTCTAGCGTTAGTTATGACACTCGGAATTTCAGAAAACCCCACAAAAAAAACACGAGGGGTCAAATCGGGGGAGCGGACTGGTTATTCCAAATTGCTCCTTATTGCGTTCTGGATAGTGTTCCCTCAAAACAGCCATTTATGTCCTTGAAGTGTGAGCCATTGCATCGGGTTGTTGGAACCAAATATCTCCTAAGCATAATTCATCAATTCGTCCAATATGTTCACATAGCGATTGGAAATCAATGTCACTCTGACCTCATTCTCTTCGAAAAACCATGGACCGACTGAGAAAATTTCACACCAAACCATGACTTTAGGTAAATATAAAGGCCTTTAGTGCAATTCTCGGAGATTAGTGTCAATTCAGAGGAGTATGTTCTGCTTGTTAATGTTTCCGTTCAAGTCAAAATGGCCTTCATCGTTAAAAAAACAATTCTGTCTTCAGGGACGTTATCGAGAAGCACCTCACACGCGTCCCGTTCTAAAAGTTCTTGCCTAATCGTCAAGTTGTAGAAACGGTAATTAAAATAGTAATGAAAAATTTGCCTCACTAAAAGACCAGAAAGTTTAAGAGCGTGCAAAACACCGTGGGAATTACAATACTGAAGCTCTCACTACCTCAATGTTCTGAGGTATTCTGATGTAGTCAGAGTCTACAATTTTCCGTTTTGTTACACTCCCGGTTTATCTAAATGTAATGACCCATGTAACAACTGATTTCCAGTCCGAGATAGGAACTAACGGGCCTACGTTGAAGCGATTATTGAAGGCGCGCGTGGTTGCTATCACAGAACTTCCGTTCGAAAACTAGTAGTGAAGACTTTGCCTCACTAACAACCGGAAAGTCTAAGAGCAGATGCATGCTTGCGTGCAGAACACCGTGGGAATTGCAACACTGAAGCTCTCACTATCTCAATGTTCTGAGGTATTCTGATGGATCGAGGGGCTCCAATTTTCCGTTTTGTTACACTTCCGGTTTATCTAAATGTAATGACCCATGTAGCAATTGATTTCCAGTCCGAGATAGGAACCAACGGGCCTACGTTGAAACAATTTCAACAAAAGTTTAGAATCATGTCTTTCGAATGAGACAACTCCCGACCCACTACGACTCCTACAACTAGATAGCGCGCATTTCAAAGAAGGAAGTTATGTTACCGCACGCTGCATAAATGACCTGTTCTCAAGATTCTCTGCATTAATGCGAATACTTTAATTTCCTATTATAGTTTCCTCTGTCTTGTGTTTAGTCATTTTATTTTTTAATAGGGATATAATAACTTCAAGTAGGTTTACATATATTGCCTACCAAAAAAATTTTGTCGTGAAAATCATAACAAAGATATAGCTAGGTTTTTTGCAATCTTACTATGCATACATTATTTTCAATTAAAACTTCCCTCTTTAGTATTATAAGAAAATGCTTGGGTTTGTGTTTGAATTATTTATCTATAATTTTTTATTCAGAGAATTCAAAACGATTAATTAGAATAGTATTTGTTGCATATTAAGATTAAGTGAAAATAGAAGAAAAATTTTTGTGTCCTGTAGGCACACGCATACTTTTATTTCGTAAACACAAACAACATTTTATTTCATAAAAATCATATCAAATCCATTATCTGACTCTAACCGAGTCTCAATTTTATTGTAATAAAGCATTAAACTTTATAATTATCTTATATTCCACTGGTTTAAGAGAATGTATTTTAGTCTTACGACAAGGAATTAGAGTTTTTTGCTCAGTGCTGGGCAAATTATTGCTTACACGATGGAAAGCATGCTAACCCTGATAATTGTAGAAGAGCTTTTCAACATCGCGATCCAGGACAAACAGTATTTTCGTATACGTTGGTAACCAATCGTATTCAAGCGGTAAACTTCACCCATAGAAAATTTTTGGATAGAGCCATTTTTGCATGGTACAATGAAATTTTTGAATATACAGATGAAATGTTTGAAGATGTTTTGGATAATTATATATACAAGTAAGCTAATTTCACATTTTCGCTACAATTCTGATTTAAGAAAATTTTCAAGTGTGTGTGGATCGTTTTGCTGCTGATAGCTGGCAGCATCCTCAATGCCAACTGACGTAACTATGCGTAAGCGGTTCCGCTGATAGCTGGAATAGAGATGATTTCAATAGGCAAAAAGGTGCATAACGTCGTATGCATGCTTGTTTGTTCCGGTAGGCATGTTGATGTACTTTCCTACATTGTGCATTCTGAACATTCGGATCCTGCTTATCCTTGGTGAGAAAAAACATGGTTCTAACTTCCTTCCCCTTCAGATGTTTGGAAAGGAATCTGTTGTGTTTCGCACATATTACTAGGCACAGATGTAGCATGATCTTCTCGTTCATTCTATTAGCTGCCCATCTACCACTTTTTCGAAAGTGAAGTAGATTTTCGAATGGAGACTGTTTAGATGATATTAGGATTCCTCTAGAGTTGCTGCCTCATGTCGACATACCGGAACCAAGAGTAAACTTTTTATATGATCGAAATGGAGGACCTTATTCTCTCCAAATGTATTATGAAGGAATTGACCATAATCGGACACAATGGGCTACCCGTGGCCACTAAATCTGTTTACTAATAGTGCCATCCCACACAAAGAGTATTGGTGAAGGCAATAGAAATGATAGGGGAGATAGGCTGATAGAATTTTGCGATAAACATAATTTAAGCGTCTCGAATACTTAATTCAACCACCAAGTTAGGAGGCGCTATACGCGGAAGATGCCAGGTGACTAATGGAGATATCAGTTAGATTACATACTTGTTAGGCAAAGATTTAAAAGTCAAGTGAAGGACTGTAGGAGTTATCCTGGAGCAGATATAGATAGCGATCATAAATTAGTAGTTATGAAGACCAATCTTAAATTGAAAATTCTGAAAAAGAGGGAACGTAGGAGACGTCTTAACTTAGAAAAGCTAAAATGTAACGAAACGTGTGATAGGCTACGTACAAGGCCAGACGAAATACTAAAGGCGGCAGGAGAAACGAACGACAGGGACTTAGAGACAGCACGGACTGCATTAAAACGTGTCTAAAGTCAGCAGCTACAGATGTACTAGGTCTTAAACAAAACGAAAGTAGGAAACCCTGGATAACAAACGAGATTGTAGTATTAATAGAGGAAAGGCGGAAATACAAAAGCAGGACAGACGAAGAAGGGCAAAAAAAGATATAAGGTTATAAAGTGGGAAATAATTAGAAAGTGTAGGGCAGCTAAGGAACAGTGGATTGATATGAGGTGTAAGGAAGAAGAAGAAAAGTTTGATGTAGGTAAAACCTATGAGGAGTATAAAATAATTAAAAGGAATTTTAGATATATAGTAATAATATAAGAAACGAGGAAGGGGTCATTTTAATAGAAAATGGGGAAAAGGTAGATAGGTGGAAATAATATTTAGGGATCCTATGCGCAGGCCATAAGTTAGGATATATATTAGAAAAGGAAGATAGTGGGGAGGTGGATGAGCTAGGTTGTCCCATAATGAGAAAAGAGTTCGATGTAGCATTAAAATGCTTAAAGAATAATAAGGCGCCAGGTGTAGATGGGATACATTGGAAAATACTAAAATATGAAGGACAAGAGATTAGAGGTCGTATGTTTAAGCTACTTGGTCACGTTTACGAGACGGGAAAAGTTCCGGAGGACTATAAACGTGGTAATAACCATACCTAAAAAGAGAGGCGCGTATAATTGCAAGACATTTAAAGCAATTAACTTCCCATACGTCAAAAATCTTAACTAGAATTGTACAGAGAAGGATGTGAAAAAGGGCGGAAGAACTATTAGGAGAAGAGCAATGTGGGTTTAGAAGAAATAGAGGAACACGAGAGGCCATTCTAGCTTTACGGGTAACAAAAGAGAAAACTATAGCAAAAAGAAAGTGTGCATACATAGGATTTGTAGATTTAGAAAAAGGTTTTGACAATGTTGAATGGGACAAGATGTTAGATACACTTAAAAATATAGGGATGAGTTACAGTGATAGAATAGTGATAACTAGTTTGTATAACGAGCAACAGGCAGTTATAGAGATGGACCGGCAACGTACAGAAATAAATATTAGGAAGAGAGTCAGACAGGGATGCACACTGTCACCGCTACTTTTTAATCTATACATCGAAGACGCGATCAACATCATTAAAGACAGTACAACTATAAGGATAGATATACAGGGGCATAACATTAGTATTGTAGTAGGAGTTAGAGACAGCTTTCAATAAAATGGATGCGGTAGTGACAAAACAGTAGTGTATAAAAATAAATAGAAGTAAATAAAAATACTGGTATGCAAAGGAAGAAAAGTAGGGAAAGAGCAAGTATAAAGATAGGAGACGAAAAATTAGAAGAAGTGACTAATTAGGTATTTAGGAAGTCAGATATGTCAGGACGGAACGAGTAATAGGGATATAAAGTAGAGGATAGCGCAGAGTTGAGTCGCCTTCAATAAAAAGAAGTCACTTCTATGCTCGCGAACGGTTCATTTACAAATTCGAAAAAGGTTGTTAAAAGTGTATGTTTGAAGCACGGAGCTGTACGGGTGGGAAATATGGACAATCGGCGCGGGGGAATGGAAAAGGTTAGAAGCGTTCGAAATCTGGTGTTACGGGCGATTGATGAGTATACCGTGGGTAAAGAAGGTTAGAAATGAAGTGGTATTAGAAAGAGTGAGAAAACAGAGGACTCTATGGAAGTCAATAAGAAATAGGCGAGATAGGTTAGTAGGACACCATGGCAATAAGTAGCTCATTATGTTATGTTATGGCGATTTTCTTTATGAAAGTCCGTGTGGCTCAACACTACCATAACAAGCAAGCAAGCATTCTCACAACGACGGCCCAACTGTTTAGTTCTAATTGTAAATGTTAGCTATTATTTTTAGTGTTTTTATTTTGTCTTATTAAATAATGTGTATTTTTAAAAAAAAAAAATTCCACCTGTTTTGCAGCATTATTGACTTCAAAAACTAGGTATGTTCCGAAAATAAAATCAATGCAGTCCGTTTACAAAATCTTATAAAATAATATATCTATATCATCTCTTATATACAGGGTGACGACCCATTAGAATATTTCAGAAATTATTTCGAATTAAGTTTTAAAATTTTGTGGTCTGATGTTTTCGGGGGTGGTCGCTTTAAATGAAATAATGCTATTCTTGTAGCACTTCAGGTTAGACCGGAAGTTGCCATCAACTTTATTATTTTAAGTGTAACACCCTATAGAATTTTTTATTTTCAGAATCTACTTTAGAATCTAATTTTAGGGGGGCTTTTATGAGCTTCCCCATGCCTAGTTCTACTACGATATATTTAAAAAAAAATGTTTTTTCATTGTCTAACTCAAAATTGCATATTTCTTATATTATGCAAGCTAAAGTATTAATATTTGGAAGGTAGATAGGGTGTTTCCCATTTACTTACTACAGTTACGTTAAAAGTTGTTTGGTATTATACAGAGTGATGAAAATTTAATGCCGAACTTGCATAACTTCGAACTATGAAAGCTTTCTTTTTCCAAGTGCGCAAAAGCAACCACAAGTTTTCAAGTTCTTTATAAATATTGCTGTGGAAGAGATTATATTTTATTTAAAAAATTAGTGAACCAGTTGCACATAGGTAGTATTTTTAGCACGAAATAACGAAACCCAGTAGATTTATTAATTTTAGGGAAGGACCAAATACAATAAACAACTTCATTCAGTTAACATACCCTCCCGTCAACTACGTAGGATGTGGAAGGACCCAATATGGATATGGTGACATGATAACTTTGGCAATAATTTGCAATTATGATAAACGACCAATAAATAACGAACCCCCATATGAATTTATTGATGATTTTGGTGAAACCTGTCCGGGAGACTATGATCACCCTAATCGAACAATCATAGAAGAGCGAATTCATTGTACAGATGGTTCGGGTGCAATTTATTATCCTATGTCTTTCATAAACTGCATGTATCGTTTTCATGCGGCGGTCCGTAGAAGAGTATACGAATATGAAATATACACTGATGAAAGTACTAATTATCCGGGATTATGCGGAAGGCAACGTCAACTTATCAATGATACGTGGAAACCACCATTTGGTAAAAACATTAATTTTTATTATGATGTGTTAGCAGTGGCTAAACAGTTATTCGAAACGTATTGTTTTATTCTTGCTACCGAATCCAATACAAGTATTTAAGGAGGTCCCACCCTCATTTCATACAATTAATACTGCAACTAAAACTGAAATCTAAAACTATTCATTTTATTGCTCCTTGTCCATTCTCCGAATTCTCGATCAAAAATGCGATGTGCAACCAACCTTTTCATTCTTAAGAAATGCACATATAACTCAAAACAACAGATACCACAAAAAAGGATTCTTATTTGCTTATTGTTAGTAATTATGCCGCATTTTAAAATAGTGGAGTTGTCCCATGGGTAACGGTCACAAATTCTACCTATCTGTTTCAACAAATGTTTTCTTTCACGTTCTAGTCGGTGCGTGCTTCCTTAATCAGTATTGCGTATGCTTCGGGACACTTGTTAAAGTAATCCAAAACGGTCAAGATCGGTATCGGTTACCGGAGTCTGTCAATAAGAATGATTTTGACAAGGCAATTGCGATTCAATCAAATGGTGCTCTCATGTTGCACTACTGCATTCGTTTACGACTTTTGGTCTTCGGTCCATTACTGGCGACGCATGTCTGGCATTTCCTGCACCAGTCTTCCTCATCGCTTCTACTTTTTAGCCAACAAAATCGTTCTCGTACGTTCTCCAGAGCCTTCGTAACGCCGAAATGTCCTTCTGAAACTATTTATCGGAAGTTGGTTTCGTGTTCCGTCCGGAGTTTCCCACATGAGAGACTTGAAGGACAAATTTATAAAACTAGAAAAAAAGATACAGCATGAAATGAACGAAATGAAACTGGATATCGAAAGCTTGAAAAAAGAAAACCAAGAAAAAGAAAAGAAGATAAACACGTATAAACAAAAATTACACTAATTGAGGAAATAATTAGTGAACTACAAGAAATTAAAAGAAAAAATGGAAAAAGTGGAAGAGGAATTACAGAAGAGGAAAGATGATAACATGGAAGCATAATAAATGGAAATTTCACAGGAAATGAAAACACATGTATAATATATGCTGGAGCAACGGGAAAATCGGTGATTGATTATGTGATAACAAATAGAATCGGAGAAGAGAAAAACAAAGGAATGGAAGTTAAACAACGGATAGAGGAGGAAGTAAAGGAACAGGATATAGACAGAGAACTAATAATATGGAATGAGGACAACATCAAAGACTTTATAAATTGGCGGAATAAATCACTGTCAATTTACTTCTTCTTCCCTCGGCGATCGTCTCTTCCTTTAAATACTCTTTTGTTCACTTTCTGGAACCTTCTGGAGACATCCGGATAGTTTATTTTTCTCTGAACTGTTTAACTGCTCTCCCAGAACGCAGGTACGACACACACATTTACAAATACGGCGTACATGAAGAAAGACGCCCGCGGCTAGTCGACGAATCGATAAGCCGTTCACGCACACGTGCGCCGCATCGCCCACAAACACATCCGTTTTTGCTGCACTGCCCCCTCCTTAAGGATGTTTAAGCCCGAAAAATTTTCACTTTCCTTTTCGCAGGATCATGCCGGAGTCTGCAGTTCTCGCTTTCACGACATCCGCTCCGGGAATAGAAGTAACAGTCCACGGTCTTCTCATGATTGGTCCGGTTCGGGTTATTACTGCAAACCAAAATGCCCATTCCAGTACGGCGGAACTGGACTTCGATCATGTTCCGTACGATCCTCCAATCTAGGTTGTCCAGTCCACAACCAAGCTTCGGAATTGCCAGCTTCTGTAGGTTATTCTCCAGAAGATGTCCGCGGAGTTCCATTACTGCGTCCCAAAGGTCTCTATAAGTTGGTTTATCAGAGCATCTTTCTTTAGTTAATAGGTAATAGATATTGCGTCGTCCGTTAGGCAGGTACAACAGTCTTCTTCCCTTCTGTACTTGGTCTTCAAGATGTTCCAAACCGCCAAATCTGCCTTTGAACTCAAACGCGATAACACGGCTCATTCTGAGATCCTTTGAAACGCAATGAGCCAGAAAATATTCCTTATATATAGCAAAGAGGTCCCGCCGGATTTCTTGCGTCACTTCCAGTTTGATAACCACCTGCGGTAGCCTTGATTTCGTAGTTTTCTTTAATCCTATCACTAGCAATCTGCATATGCTCAACCATTTCGTCCGATTGTGGATGGAGTGGTGTAGTTCGAATTTTATTTATTCGTAGGAGCTCGCATATTCCATGGAATATAGCCCATTCGAAATCCTTCCCTTGGTCTGAGTGCAACTCCAAGGGCACCCCAAAACGACTGATCAACTATTTCACCAGCTCCTCAACTATGGTTTCCGACTCCTGGTTCGAAAGTTCATAGGTTTCAACCCACTTGGTAAAATGGTCCATAACGACCACGATGTACGTTACCTTTCTCGGACTGTGAGAATGGACCCGCCACATCGATTGCGTTTCGTTCGAAGGGGCTACCGACATTGTATTGACGCATTGGCGCCCTTGGCCTTTTCTGTGGTCCATTACTCGCGGCACAGGTTTGACAAGATCTACTGGAAAGTGCATCGGCATTCTTGTGTCCGGTTCCAAGCCGGTGCTCTACGTCAAAATCATATTCCTGTAGCTTCTCAATCCATCGAACTACCTGGCCCTCCAGATTCTTGAAATTCAGAAGCTACTTTTAAGTTGCATGATCGGTGCAAGGGTGAATTTTCTTCCATATAGGTATTTATAAAAATGTTCTACACATCTGACTACAGCCAGCATCTCTCGCCTAGTGACACAGGAGTTTCTTTCAGCTTTTGATAAGGTCTTGCTAAAATAGACGATTACCTTCTCTTGGTCACCTTGCAACTGCGAAAGAGCGGCTCCCATTTCTATATTGCTGGCGTCGGTGTCGAAAATGAACATTCCATTGGGCCGAGGATATACCAGTACGGGAGCTGTGATTAAAGTCTGCTTCAATGTCCCAAATGCCGTTTGACAATCCAAATCCCAATGAAATTTGCGGTCACTTTCGGTTAAACGTGTCAAAGGTTTGGCGTTATTGGCGAATCCATAAACATAGCGACGATAATATGTGCACAATCCCAAGAAGCTTCTTATGTCGTGGACATTTTCAGGCACTGGCCATTCCTTCACGGTCTGTATCTTCTCTGGATCTACGGCCACGCCATTCGCTGATACAACATGTCCCAAGTAAGAAACTTGGCACTTTTTCGGACTAAGTTTCAAATTGGCCTCACGTAACCGCTTGCAAATTCTGCAGGTCACTAGGATGTCATCCAAGTATACCAAGCAGGTCTTTCCAATTTGATCACTCAAGATTTTCTCCATCAACCTTTCGAACATCGCCGGGGCATTGCATAACCCGAAGGGCATAACTGTAAACTGCTATAGGCCCGTGCCGACCGAGAATGCGGTCTTTTCCTTGTCGCCAGCATTTTAAGCAACTTGCTAGTATCCGCTCTTCAAATCGAGTTTGGAAAACATTTTCGAGCCAAAAAGCATATCCAAGGTGTCATCAATCCGTGGTAGTGGATAACTGTCTTTCTTGGTTACGTTGTTGAGCTGTCGGTAATCCACACAAAAACGGGTTGTCCCATCCTTCTTCTTTGCCAATACTACCGGTGATGTCTATGGACTTGAGGTTGGCTCAATTATGCCGGTCTCCTGCATTTCGTGGATTATTCGCTCTGCTTCTTCCTTCTTGGCCAGGGGCAATCGTCTAGGTCTTTTATCTTGTGTTTTACGATATTGGTCCTTTCCCTACCATTCTAGTCAGTCTCAAAGACGTCAGCATTCTGACAAAGTAGATGTTGCACTTTGCATTTCTGCTCACTGGTTAGATTCCTACAATATCTGTCAATTACTCCACTTATTTCAACAGGTACTGTTTCAGAATTTACCTATCGGGTTACCGCCTCCTGTCTATCTTTGATGAAATAGAATTCTTCACCATTCAGTCTCAGAACGCGTCTTCTTAAATGCATGTCAAAATCGTATCTTCAATGTCTGCCACACGCACTCGATGGTCAAAGACAGTCTTACCACTTTTTCTCCGGTAGCGGTACGCAGAACCCAGGTAGTTGACATGGTTATAACCCTTGACTACGCTTTTACTATGTTACTATTTTCTTTTACTATGTTCCTAGTGGCCCCCGTGTCCAAAAGAAACACGCATCTTCATCCATTAAGTTTTCCTCCTGGGAGTAGACTGTCATTCTGGTGCTTCAAGGTCTTCGTAAATGCGATAAATTCGGGGTCTTTCTGTCCGTGGGCCAACGTTTGCCCCGTTACGTTGACCCTATCTAGTTTTCCTGCTGTTGACGTCGAGTACTTGAGGAAGGAGTACTTTTCCTACACTGCCTCCTCGTATGACCTAGTTCGCCGCAATTCCATCATCTTAGCTTTCGAGTTTCTTTATCGAACTTGGAGATGATTAGGCAGACGGTTTCTTCTAAAGATTCTGACGAATCCGTTTCTTCACACAGTAGCCGAACCCTTCCCTGTTTGCTGTAGGCCCGTTTAACAGTTTCGTACTCCAATGCACAAGTCAATGCATCAGCTAGCGTCTTAGGTCAGTCAGGACGTATTCGTTGTTGAGTGTCACTGCCCCGAAGTCCATCAGTAAATGCCTCTACTGCCAACCTTTCCATCAATTCTTCTGGAGTATTAGGATAGGCTAGTCGAGACAGTCTCGCAATATTGGCCTCTAATTCGTGTAGGGATTCCGTTGGTTTCTGCTGACGGGTTTTCATTTGGATGTGATACACCGCTGTTAAATGAGCCTAGCCGTAGCGCAACTCTGATCGTTTTACCAACTGTTCATAACCCGTCAATTCTTCTGGAGAATGGGTGTTCAAAATGTCACATGCATCTCCACGAAGCGCACCGGTCAACGCAGTGGCTTTTTCTTCAGGCGCCCAGTTATTCGCCTTAGTAGCCGCCTCGATTTGCTTGTAGTATGTGGTCCATGAGGACTTTCCGTCAAACATTGGTGGTTACACT